CGATCAATGAAAAGCCGGGAGCGTTAGGCCAGGTCTTGGTGGGCAGGCCACTACCCCCTAAGGAAACCGTGGGTAGGGCCTCTAATGGCCCGCGCTGAGGAGTTTCGGGGATAGGTGGACTTCCATTTTCTTCTCTGAGAAATTCACAACAAGTGATCCACCTACGACCCGAACGGCTGTTTCGCACGGTTGAGTAAAGCGGTTGGACCAGTGCCTGCCACAGAATGTCTTTGCTCTGGGAGCCACTGGACGGGGGATGCCTGTAGTTGGCAGGAGAAGTGGCCCAAGTCCCCCTCCTCCCACCCATAGGATCGGGCATAGAAAGGCAGGGTGGCCTTGGAGCTCGCTGCCCTGCCCCCTTTCCTCTGAGCACCACAAGCTTCTCCCTTTCCCATCGGCTGGGCGCTTAAGGCCTTGACCCCCGACCCCCACCCCCACCCCCACGCCCCCACCACCCCACCACCACCCACAGCGCCTATCTGCCACTTTGAGCTTGAGCGGCCCTCTGGGTACTGAGTATCACCAACCTGGTGGCTTCGGTTTCTCACCTGTAAAATGGATAATTAGCGGTCATGACCCTATAGGTAAAAGGAAAGCTGACCCACCATGAACACTCCCAGGCTCACATACTACTGACCCATTTTACAGATGGGTAAACTGAAGCTCAGCAACCTTTCCCTGGGGGCCCTACAGCCAGTTCAATGACCAAGGCCGCCCCCCACCCCCTACCCACCGCCCAGGCTCAAAGTACCTCTGCTGGCAGTGGGTGAGCTGGAAAAGCAGGTAAGGGAGGTCCTCACTGCCTCTTCCTCCACGCCTGGCTGGGCCTGCTGGGGCCCAGGTGCACTGAATGAGGCTTCTAGTCAGCCCTGCAGCTCCACTTCTGTGTTTATTCACAGCAGCTGCTCCTGGAAGGCAGCCCCCCCCCCCCCCCCCACCCCCCCGCTTTTTTTTTTTTTTTTTGTATTTTTAGTAAAAAAGAGGTAAAAAAAAAATTTCACATTTTAGGCTGGGGAGGCCGAGGGCTTCAAAGGCAGTTCCACAGTCCAGGAACCCTATCCCCATGGAACAGACCCAGGTGGTGTCACTCTGGCCTCTGCGCTCAGATGCCCGAGATCTTGTCTGAGCTCAGACTGGAGTCGACGGGTGATTCCCCCATCTCATAGGTTTTACAAACCACAACAGCCTCTCCCTGCCCGCCTCCCTGTGTCCCCCAGAGCGGCTTCTCCCCAAGTCTCCCATCCCAGCAATGAAAGCCTCTTCTATATACTCCTAACTACCCAGGAGAAACATCGGTTTCCCACGCCTCATTTGCAAACAGACAGAATTAGACGATGCTCCTCTGCCAAAGCGAATTTTCAGTTCACCCACTTCCTATCACACCTTCCAGCCAGGTCAGGCCAGCAGCCCCCTTCCAAATATCCCCATCACAGCGGCTATGGGATATTCTTAACACACAATCCGATCACGCCATGCACCTGCTGTTCCAAGCCTCCCTGGTCCCCACCGCCCTGAGAACGGGTTCCACACGCTCCTCGCCGCTTCCCAGACCCCGGCAAACCTCTCTCCACCTCCGACCCTCCCTTCTCCGCGTTTCAGCCACGCTGGCCTCTTTTCTGCTCGGCACACACTCCCGGCTGGGCCCTGCCCCACAATCTTGCTGTTTCCTGGGCCTAAAAAGCCCTGGCTGGCTGGTCCAACCAGGCCAAATGACATTATCCCCACCTGGGCACCTCCACCTCACCCCGGCCGCCTGATGCGTTAGCTCGGGATTGGAATGACGTGTTTAAGCCGTTCTCAGAAGCCGTCTACGCGGCCGGGCTGCGGGTTCCAAGGCCAGGGTCCCAGCTGCGTCCCCAGCCCTGGCACGTCGGGGGCACGGGGCGCTCCCCCGGCTCACACATCCGAATTCCCCCGCGTCACGAGGCCAGGATCGCCCCTACTCGCTCCCGCCCGTTTCGCAGCCGCGTCCTCGGACACCCGCGGCGCCCTGGCCCTCGTGGGGGAACGCGGACCGCTCGGGGAGACGGCCCAGAGGGGGAGCCCCGAGGGGGACAGTCCCCGGCGGGGTGATGGGGGCTGGAGCCCAGTTGCGAGTGGGGGCCGCCTGTGACCGCCATGGCTGCGGAGGCGGGGCCGGGGCCAGCCGTGAAGGTGGCGTTCGGGGCGGTGTTCGCGGCGCGGGGCGCTCGCTTACCTGGGGGCGCAGGCGGCAGGACGCACCGAGAGCCTGCGGCGGGGCTGGGGACGGCGCGCCTGGCGGGGTACCCGGAGCAACTGCAGGCACGCGAAGCCCGCTCCAGGCAACCGGACTCTGCTCCCGGCCGGGCCTCGGCCCCCAGCAGGGGAAAAAAGGCTTGAGTGGGGGGAGGCCGGGGCGGGGCCTGGGCGGGGCGCGCGCCCCAGAACGGTGGGGCCTGGCGCTGGGCTGGGGCCCTGGAGAGGCGGGGCCTGGGGCGGGGAACTTGGAGGGGCAGGGCCTTGAGCGGGCGCGGGGTCCCCCCAGGCGCTTGTCCCCCTCGGCGCAACTAGGCCTCTCCCTAGCCCCTGACCCCGCCCCCATTCCCGCCCCCGCCCCCGTTCCCGCTCCGCCCATCTCTGCCCCGCGGCGCGCCTGGCCCGGGTCCAGCCTCGCGTCTCAAGCCTGCGCCTTATCTCTCCCCTTTGAACCCAGCATTGTCCGCTGCGCGCTCTGTCCGCCCTGGCTTCACCCTTGTTCACTGTCTCCCCGGTCCCCTCCCGGGTCCCCTCTTCTGCCGGAGATGCTCGGGCTCCGCTCATCTGTCCACACCCCCACACTGCCGGGGCGCCCTGAGCCTCTGGGGCGCTCAGTTGGGTGGTGCACGGGGGCGGCCCAGACTTCTCCAGGCCTCATCGGCTACCCTGGGTACCCCGACTCTGGGGCCCTGTTGGAGGGCCAGTCCAGGGGTTCGCCCGAGGCGCGCGCGGGGGCCAACCGAGGCAGTGAGGGCATCTGGGCAAAGGCTGCGGTTTGGTGGGTGCAGGGGTCAGGCGGCAGAGCTGGGGAGATAAGATGGGAGACAGGCCTGGTGGGTGGTGGCACAGCCCTGGTTTTGGCTGAGGGCAGCAGCAGTGGGGGCTGGGTCCCCCGCTTGCCTGATAGAACCGAAAATGACCGGATCTCAGCAGCGCGGGGATCCTGGGCGATCCCTGAATAGAGGACAGTCCCAGGGGGTTTCAGAGTCGCTGGCCCACCGCGTGTCCTCTGGGCAAGTGGCTTCGCCTTACAGAGACAATAAGCCTCTGTAAAATGGGGATAATAAATCTTTCTCTGACTCAGCTCAGCAGACCCAAGACCCATCGGGGTGAAGTTGAGGCCTCCCTGGCCATAGGGCCCCAGGCAAGCTGAGATTTTATTTCCTCACAGAAAAGGGGCGCGGGGAGCGGGCGCGGCGGGGGCGGTCAGGGAGGCAAGAGACCTCTGTTGCAAGTGTGGAAGAACCTGTCCCTCCAAGTTCAGACTCCTGACCTTTGCACTTAGCCTTCCCTCTGCTACACAGTTTCTCTTTTCTTTTCTTTCTTTCTTTTTTCTATCTTTTTTTTTTTTTTTTAGAAGAAGCTCGGTTCTGTTTCCCCGGCTGGAGTGCAATGGAGCGATCTGGGCTCACTGCAACCTCCGCCTCCCAGGTTCACTTGATTCTCCTGCCTCAACCTCCCGAGTAGCTGGGATTACAGGCGCATACCACCATACAGGGCTAATTTTTTGGGTTTTTTTTGTTTTTTGTTTTTTTAGTAGAGACGGGGTTTCACTATGTTGGCCACACTAGTCTCAAACTCCTGACCTCGTGATCTGCCGGCCTTGCCTCCCAAAGTGCTGGGATTACAGGCGTAAGCCAGCACGCCCGGCCTTCTCTTTTCTTTATTTTTTATTTTTATTTTTTTTAAATCTGTTAGAGGCTGGGCGCGGTGGCTCACATCTGTAATCCCAGCACTTTGGGAGGTTGAGGCGGGTGGATCACCTGAGGTCAGGAGTTCGAGACCAGCCTGGCCAACATGGCGAAATCCCGTCTCTACCAAAAACACAAAAATCAGCTGGAAGTAGAATTGCGTGAACCCGGGAGACACAGTGAAACCCCGTCTCTACTAAAAATACAAAAAATTAGCCGGGCGTGGTGGTGCACACCTGTAGTCCCAGCTACTCGAGAGTCTGAGGCAGGAGAATCGCTTGAACCCAGGAGGCAGAGGTTGCAGTGAGCCAAAATTACACTGCTGCACTCCAACCTGGGTAACAGAGGGAGACTGTTTCAATAAAAAAAAAAAAATTATTTGGTAGAGGTGGGGTCTACGTTGCTCAGTGTGGTCTGGAACTCTTAGGCTCAAGTGATCCTCCTGCCTCCGCTTTCCAAGGTGCTGGGATTACAAGCGAGAGCTGCCATGCCCCAGCCTCTTTCCCTTTTCAAAAGCGTAACATCCTTCTCCCTCAGCCCTCGGTCCCCTTCTTCCTCCATTGCCTGCTCTACCCCACCCCCACCGTATTCACCTGTTTTTCTCCTCTCCACTCCAAGAGCTTGTTTGCACGCCTGGAAAAGAAAGATAATAAAGCAACTATTCTCAGTTGTTGTGATTAGGGAGCTATTGAATATCATGCGTTGCACCCTCCAGGGTGCTCACAGCATGGCATTTGTTTGGGTTAACAATAATAATGAACACCGGGCTTGGTGGCTCACACCTGTAATCCTAGCACTTTGGGAGGCTAAAGTGAGTGGACTGCTTGAGCTCAGGAGTTTGAGACGAGCCTCAGTAACATGGCAAGAGCCCCATCTCTACCAAAACTACAAAAATTAGCCAAGTGTGGTGGTGTGCTCCGGTAATCCCAGCTACTCAGGAGGCTGAAGTGGGAGGATCACTTGAGCCCAGAAGTCAAGCCTGAAGTGAGCTATGATCATGCTACTGAACTCCAGCCTGGGCAACAGAGTGAGATCCTGTCTCAATTAAAAAAATAAATAAAGGAGGCCGGGCGTGCTGGCTCACACCTGTAACTCCAGCACTTTGGGAGGCTGAGGCGGGCAGATCATAAGTCAGGAGTTCGAGACCAGCCTGGCCAACATGGTGAAACCCCGTGTCTACTAAAAATACAAAAAATTAGCCAGGCATGGTGGTGGCGCCTGTACTCCCAGCTACTCGGGAGGCTGAGGCAGGAGAATGGCTTGAACCCGGGAGGCAGAGGTTGCAGTGAGCTGAGATCACGCCATTACACTCCAGCCTGGGCGACCGAGTTGAGACTCCGTCTCAAAAAAAAAAGACCAGTGTGGGCAACATAGTGAGACCCCCGTATCTATAAATAATAATGATAATATAATACAGGATACATGGTGGAATGGTGGAGTCCAAGCCCCAGGACTCCGGAGAAGCGGAGTAGGGGAGCTCAAAAGAGGACCCAGGCAGGCCAGGGCTAGGAAGAGAGTTCAGTTGGAAGGTAAAAGGTTGGGAAGCTGGAGGAAAACACCTGGAGTCAGCCAAGCAGGAAGGGACTCACGCTGCACCTTCTGCAGTTGGGCAGCTTCTTGCCTGTGCCCACCTTCCACCCAATCCCTGAGCATGGCGCTCAGGCCGGACCTCAAGCTTGAGAGTGAGTGGGTGTTCAGGGCAGGCTTCCTGGAAGAGGTGACATCTGAGCCCTGAGAAATGAGCGGGTGGGGGAACTATACTGAGGGAGTTTCCTGGGAGGACAGCAGGGCTGGCCCAGCCACAATAAGCCCTCCTGGGTTCTCTCCAGGGAGAGGCACCCAATGGACTTATTTATTTTGAGATGGAGTCTCACTCTGTCATCCAGGCTGGAGTGCAGTGGTTCGATCTCAGCTCATTGCAGCCTCTGCCTCCCAGGTTCAAGTGATTCTCCTCCCTCGGCCTCTCAAGTAGCTGGGATTACAGGCACGCACCGCCACGCCCAGCTAATTTTTGTATTTTTAGTGAAGACGGGGTTTCACCATGTTGGCCAGGCTGCTCTTGAACTCCTGACCTCAAGTGATCCCTCAAGGGATTATGAGCATGAGCCAACGCACCTGGCCAACAATTGGACTTAAAATTAGGAAAGAACATTGTGGGAGGCTGGGGAAGGTGTCACTCCACCATGGGCAGCTGGATGGGAGGACCTGGGGCCTGGTTCGGGGATGATGGACAGGAGGAGAGGGAGGGATTCCAGGGAGATTTAGAGGTAACATTATCAGAGCTCAGGGGATGAGGGAAGGCTAGAGCCTGGCTGGTGGCAGTGAGGGTCACCTCCTCTGCTCACCTTTCTCCAAGGCTCCCCCCTGCTCCATGCCTAAATATCCTCATCTGCCCAGAGTAGGTACTTGGCACCTGATCTCCTCCACCTGCCACCTGGCTCCCTGCCCAGCTCCCCAGGGCACTTGGCAACCCAGCATAAGTCCAGCAGGCTAACCAGTTCTCATTGACGATGGCTCCTGCCAAGCCAGGCCCTGCACCCACCTGAGGTTCCCAGTGGCTGAGCTGAATCATGGCCCTAGAACCCTGGGTGAGGAAAGGGCAGTGACAAATCTTATCCTGGAGCAGTGACAAGCTGGTCATTGCTGGGGTTGTGCAAAGTGATGTAAAGAGATGGATACAGCCGGCCTTCTCTGTGAAGCAGGTGCACTTCAACTTCCCATTTTAGGCCAGCTGTGACGGCTCGAGCCTATAAACCCAGCACTTTGGGAGGCGGAGGTGGGAAGATCACTTGAGCCCAGGAGGTTTTTTTGTTTGTTTGTTTGTTTTTTGTTTTTTTTTTTTTTGAGAGCGAGTCTTGCTCTATAGCCCAGGCTGGAGTGCAGTGGCACGATCTCGGCTCACTGCAAGCTCTGCCTCCTGGGTTCACTTTCTCTCTCCGCTCCCAGTCAGGGGGTCACGGGTGCTGTGGTTTTTTGTGTTTTAGTAGAGACAGGGGTTTTCCCGATGTTGGTCAGGCTGGTCTCGAACTCCTGACCTCAGGTGGATCCACCCGCCTTGGGCCTCCCAAAGTGCTGGTTACAGGCGTGAGCCAACACGCCAGGAGTCCTAGGGCGTTGTTTTTGATCCAAGCAACAATGAAACGAATAACCTGCTGCAGAGGTCATATGTCAACCCAGCATGAACAGATCTCATCAGTAAATTCCTAGAAGTAGAATTACTTGTCAAAGGGTGTGAGCAGGTGTATCTTGGATAACTATTGCCAAAGGTTTCCCCACAAAAGACTCAGCCTCCACATGTTATCAAACATTCTAATCTTTGCTAACTCAGAGGTTTAAAAGTATGTAGTTCTCATTTGCATTTGCATTATTTATTTATTTATTTATTATTTTTTTGAGATGAAGTCTCGCT